TCTACTCTATTCCATTCCATTCTATTTTCTTTGTGCCCCTGGACTGGAGGGGTGGACTAGATGCCCTTTTAGTTCCCAAAGGGCCTAGGGGGAACCCAGGCTGGAGCTGCCAAGCTTGAGGCTCTCTTCTGGGGGGACCAAATATGGAAGCAGGAAGCTCCCAGCAGCTGCATTGGATGACAAGAAGGGAGGGGCAGTCCCACACCCATCCGGGATTTGGGGGTCACACACAAACCCCACAAACCAAAGGCAAGCTGCAGAAAACCCTCAGCTAAACCAGGAAGTAGGGAATCTGCAGGGATCCTTCCTGGTCCAGCTGGGTCCTCCCACCAGCCCCCCCCTCTTCCCGGGGGGCATTTCCCCTTTCCCAAAGCCTGTCCCCACCCCCTTTCTGCTCCTTCCCCACAAGCATCGGGGGTCCCTCCCAACCTCCCCCCTGCCCTCCCCCTCCTTACCGGGGGGGGGGGTTCCTTGCCCCCCTCCCTTCCAGGGATCCAGGTCAGCGCCCCCACCAGGAACCGCAGGGGGAGCCCAGCCAAGCCCACGGATGCTCCCAGCCCCAGAGGCGGAATCGGTGGGCCTGGATTGGGAGGGGGGCATTTTTTCTCTCAGTCAGTCTTGGGAACGCCCAGAGATCCGAAAGGACCAATGGGAATTCTCCCTTCTGAAGCGTCATCGGTCTCCGGGCAGAGTCTCTCTCGACTTCACCCGATGGAAGAGGCTGTCCGGCGCAGAGCGAGAAGCGGAGAAAGGGGGGGGGAAGTATTTGGGGGGGGGCTTTTATGGGGAGAGAAATCAGCCCTGAAAGAAAAAAAAAGAAAAGAAATATGCATATCCATGGACAGGATGTATAAGAGGATCTGAGCAGATTTTCTTCCTTCTCAATATTATTTTAAGAAGGATGGAAGGATGCAGCGTATATTAAATAAAATAAATTTATAACACCTAATTATAATCTGGAATATTAATAGACATTCTGTGGACTTCAGTAATCCTAGCACCGTAATGAATAGGATGACAGGCTTAACCATTAAAGTCTGAAAATCTCCCCCCCCCCCCCAAACTCTCCCAAAACAGACATTCTGTTTCTTTTGTTTCCTTCCATCCAGAGAAAACCTTTTTTCTCGTCTTCTCCGGAGATTCGTGTTCGGGGGAGTTCCGCAAAGGCGGGTCGGGCAGAGCCTCCATTCCCGGCTCTGCTCCGAAGGGCTTTGGGGGTCCAGAGGGGGCCCGGATCCTTCCCGGGGACGGGGGGGCTGGAGGGCTCAGACTCCCCCTGGCCCAGCACCAGCCTCGGCAGGCCAGAGCCGGGTCCCCCCCGCAGCCGAAGGAGGGCAGAGTCCGAATCTGCCCCCCCCCAATTGCGACACAGCCGGTCGCCCAAAGTCTGTCCCGGATCCAGGCAGCCTCTGGGGGGGAGGGAGGGGCCCCCATCGCTCGCCTGACCCGGGCAGAACCTCTGGGCGCCTTTCCTGCTCCCCCCCCCCAAATATTGTGGTTTTCTCCGAGTTCTCACACACACACACACACACACACACACACACACACACAGCAACTCCTTTCCACAACCCCCGAAGAGGCGCCTGAGCCCCGCTTCTCCCCCCCCGCCCCCGGCCTGAAGCGCTGGGCTCCCCCGAAGCGGAACCGAGGAACCGGCCCTGATCCAGCCGGCAACAAGCCCGGATTCTTCCCCAAACCAAAGTCATATCAGGTCTGTTTCTTTGGAAGACTTTAAATGTGAAAATATTCAATTGAATCGCTGGATCAGGAAAGGGTAGAATGGTCCAGAACAAAGCCTGTCAGTTGAGCGAGGGCGGGCTCACGCGTGAGGCGATCTGTGCTCTGATTGGTTCCTGCGGGTGTAAAGAGGGAGTTTCCCTGTTTTCCCGCCTTTTTCTTCTGTGGGCTCTGTCGGCTCTTTTGTGATTTACTTCACGATTTACCTCAGGATGTAGTGATATGCCTGATTATCCTATCTGCTGTAAAAATAGAGGTTAAATACATTTATTGGTGTAAAACTACAAATTTAGGTCAGTGTCTCCCACTTCATTTGGACAGCTGCCGCTCAATTCCTCAACTTTAAATCTTTTTAATTGTGCCTTCCAGTCCTGGATTTCATTCCATTAAGTTTTCAGGAATTGCAACAATGACACACCTGCCTTTGGGTTTCAAGTTCACCCTGTTTATTCCTTGGTGTAGGAGCATCTGAGTCCCTTTTGACAGACCCCGTGTTTGGTTTCCACATCCCCTCTTTTGTGTCCAAGTTCTTTTTTGCCCAAAGTTTCAAAAATCTGCTGTATCCACAGCAAGGAAATCTTTTGTTTTTAAAGGAACAATTAATGAATGTTAAAGGAACATCTATCAGTTGAGGAGAAACTCTCAGGGCAGGAGGGGAGGGGCTCACCCCACTGCACAACAGTTGTGTATACATAGCCAGCCACACAAAGAGGGTCCCAGATCCAGGGAGCGCCTGATCAGAGCAGAACTCCTGTCCTCTTTTCATGTTTCCCCAGCAAGAGTTTGATTTCCTCTGAGTTCCTCCTGCAACCCCAGCCCTCCACACACACCTCCACACACAAACACCACAGAGGAACTTTGTTTGTTTACACAACCCACAACAGCTGGAGAAGTGCTGGAGTTTCGCTCCCCCCCCGCCCCCGGCCTGAAGCGCTGGGCTCCCCCGAAGCGGAACCGAGGAACTGGCCCTGATCCAGCAGGCAACAAGCCCGGATTCTTCCCCGGGGCAGCTCCGGGACTGTCCGGCTCTGCCCCGTGGCTGAGTCTCCGGGTGGGGCGGCCCCCTCGGTCCTCTGCACTCCCCCCCCCGGAAGAGGCTGAGGGGCCCCTCCCGACCCCCCAAGAGACCCCGGACAGCCCACGGAAGAAACCGAGAGAGGGTTGGGGAAACGTCCCCCAAAGGACCCAAAGGCTCCGATTCTCCCCCTCCACACGTTACGGGGAGACTGGGCTCTGGGGGTAGGGAGAAAGGGGGGGCTTTTCCTGATGTCGGGAAAGAGGGAAGGAGAGAGAGGAAAAGGAGGAGAAGCAGGGAGGGGGAGGGGCTCTGTTGCAGTGGGGGGAGGGGGATGCTGAGGGAGGACCTGGAGGAGTGGGGGGAGGGTCTCCCCAGAGAAAGTCTGTCCATGGGGGGGTTAAACGTTGACACCAACTTGACAGCAGGTAACCATCATTAGCCTATCCGGTTAAAGGAGATCTCTGGTCTTTTCCCCACCAGTGAAAGCGCTGGGGATGGTGAGGACTAAACCACGGTTCATTTCACGGCTGTTCAAAGTTACAAGGGCACTGAAAAAACTGACTCTTCTTTTAAAACTTTTTTATTGTTTTTAATGTTTTTTTAATAATGTCATGCATATACCTGTGTTTAGCTTTGTGTATCCAACCCAGTCACTTGTTGTGAGATGGGTGGTTATATAAATTTGGTAGATAGATGATATAGTTAGAGAGAGAAGGGGGGGAGAGAGATGATAGATAGAAGATAGAGAAAAAAGAAGAGATAGATGATAGATAGATAGATAGATAGATAGATAGATAGATAGATAGATAGATAGATAGATAAGATAAGAGAGAGAGAGAGATCGACAAAGAAATGATAAAAATGAGAGGGAGAGAGTGGGAGGGAGGGAAAGAGGGAGGGAAGGAAAGATAGAGAGAGATGGGGAGAGAGAGGGGAGAGAGAGAGAGAGAGAGAGAGAGAGAGAGAGAGAGAGAGAGAAATGACATTCTCAGTTCTTCTGAAGTGTAGCTCATCCCCTGCCAGAAGCTCCTCATGTGGGTCATGTAGACCAGTGTTTCCCAAAATTGACAATTTTAAGGCATGTGGACTTCAACTCCCAGAATTCCACAGCCAGCAATGCTGGCTGTGGAATTCTGGGAGTTGAAGTCCACATGCCTTAAAATTGTCAAGTTTGGGAAACACTGATGTAGACCATAGTCCAAGAATCCAAAGTTCTCTCGACAGAACCATCCTCTGGATGACTTCCGGAGGGGGCAAGGTTCAGTGGGAGAGCTATCTAGGGGCATCTAGGGGTGCTGGGGAGAAGGGAGGGGTCTTCCACTCAGAGTTGCCCCCTTGATCTTTCCTCTCTCCCGCAGAGCTGCTCTCCCTCCCTCCCCCCTGATGCCAAATGTCTCCTACACCAGGAATGGCTTCGGCTGGACTTTCTGCTCTGGCCCCAAGAGGCCCTGGGGAAGACACCCTTCCCAACACCCCCTGCCCAGGAGCCCTCAGTCCAGGGGGATGGACATCAGGGCAACCTTCCCAAAGATCAAGGACATTGGCCACAGGACAACTCAGGGCCTTTTCTGAGGGGGGGTCTCAGATGAGCTCCTGTTGGGGGCCACACGTGAGACTCGCACAGGACTCCCTCTGTTGGGGACCATCGGATCAGGACGGGGTCCTCCACCCAGGACATGAAGCAGGAGGACCCTCCAACTGTGCAGGAGAGGCTGCTCTAGGGGTCTCCTCTACCCAGAGGGAGGGGGCTTCGGATCCGAAGGCAGGAAGGGCTGTGGGGTGGCAGTGGCGATAGGTGGGCAGTCCTGGAAAAGGCCTCTGGGGTCTCAGGTGGAGGGAGGGAGGCGTTGGGTGCCAAAATGGGGCAGGACCCTCCAGCTGTGAAGGAGAGAAATGGCACAAATGGCTGGGTGAGTGTAGGGGGAGTCTCAGGTGTCCCCCAATGGCTCCCCACAAGTGCTTGAAGGGGACCACGCCTCCTGGCATCCTGGTTCTCAAAAGTAGGGTTGAGGAGAAGCAGAGAAAGGGGGCCCCCAAGAAGGAAGGGAGTCCTGCCCCTTCCCCTCCCTGGATCTGCCCACCCTCCTCCCAAACCAGTTTTGACTTCGGACCTGAAGTAGCTGGGATGGTTGATCCAGAGGCAGGGGAGGTGTCAATCTGGGGAAGGGGAGAAGGGAGGACCCTCCTGCGGGGAAGAGAGAGGAAAGAGGAGGAGGAAGAGAAAGAAAGGAAGAAGGAATTCCAGGATTTTTCCTACAAAGTTTATTTTTTTACAGCAAAGCAAAGGGAAGGGATTCAGATGAAGAGTAATGAAGATGAAGCTGCTGTGGATTTAAAGACGGGACAGATTTGGGTGTCTGGACTGACAGGCAGGTCCAGAGTCCCAGGGATCAGTCTAGATGGTCTCCACCGCTCCCTCACAAGAAAGAGGGGCCTTCAAAGGAAAGCCAGAGGGGTCTCAGCAGGAGAGGCTCCAGGCTGCCATTCTCCTCCTCCCCCCAATCTAAAATCTTGACCCTCCATTTTTCAGAGGTTGCAAAAGAGAGACAGAAATTCATCAGCTAATGGAAAAAAGCCCCTTCCTTTCCCACAAGGAAGCAGGAAGGAGGGCAGATTTAATTCATGAGTGCTGTAGAAAAAAAGAGATGGGGAGAAAGTTAGAAAATAAAGTGAAGCCAGTGTAAGTAGCTTATTATTCCTCTCTTTCAGCCACCCCCCCCCCAAACAGTCCCACATTGCAGGGGGGTGGTTGATGAGTAGGAACAAAGTGAGGGAGTGTCCCCCCCTCTTTTTCAAAGAGGAAAAGGATGAAAAGGATCAGCAATTCATCTCTCGGGACTAATGGAATTTCCCCCAATTGACTTAATTGGGGAGTTAATCAAGAGAGGAGCCCCCCCCCAGACGTTTCATATTAACAAAGAAGATGGGGAGTGGTAGCAAAGCTGGTGTCGCTTTGCCAGAAATTGTGTGAAATGTCACAAGGAGACTTCCCTTCTCTTTTGCAATTTCCCAAAACTTAGAAACATCCTGGGCCAGATTTTAATGTTTATGTGTGTGTGTTTGTTTTTGATTGCACTGTTTTCAGGTCTCTGTAATGAAAAGCTGCCCAAAATTTCAAAAATTTGTGTTATCCACAGCTAGGAGGTTTTGTTCAGGCACTTTTTTTTTTTTTTAAAGAAACATTTAACGAATGTTAAAGAAACATCTATAACTTGGGGATAAACTCACCTGCAGGAGGCTGGATGGGAATTGCTGGAATGAGAAAAAGACCAAATCAGAACCCTTCATGGGCTGGAGGACTTGGGGGGGGGCTCCCCATCGAGAGCCCATAATAGGTTGCACGATGCTCACTTATACAGTACACTCTCAGAGAACAGAATTTCCCAAGCAAATTTCCAAGGGGGCCTCCTTGCCATCTTCTAAACTTGCTGAGAGGCCTCCCCTGGATGGTCCCCTCCCCACAATCTCTCATCCAGCCGCCCAGACTCACCATTCTTGCTCTTCAGGTAGAGGGAGAGCCCCATGGCAAAGAAGATCATCCCAATCACGGCTGCCACGACCCCGGTCCAGAGTTTGCTCCTGGCAGAATTGGAGGAACGGGGCTCTGGGGAAGGAGAAGGAGCCTCTCCTGAATAGGAGGATCAGGGCCAGCTTCCCCCACCCAAGAGGGTCCATCCCAGCTCCCCCCACAGGGAGGGTCTCTGCCCCCTTCTCAGGGCAGGATGTGGTCCCCAGACCAGGAGGGGAGGGAGGGGGGCTCACCCCACTGGACGGTGATGGGGGCCTCCAGGCTGGCATGCTCCACCTGGCAGGTGTAGACGTCCCCCCGCTGGGGCTGGGTCTCCAGCATCACCTGGAGCTGGTAGGTCCAGTCTCCGTTCTGGAGCTCCTCCCCGAAGGCCACACCCTCCTCCTCCAGCCGCCTGTTCTTCAGCCACCGGACCTCGATCTCCACGGGGTAGAAGCCCCTCGCGATGCAGAGGAGGATGGTGTTGGGGGAAGCGGGATCCAGCTTGGTGGGGGAGATGGAGACGGTGGGCTTGGCTGGAGGGGAGGAGGTATATGAAGGAGACACAGGAGGGGTCAGAACAGGAAACCAAGTGGGTTAGTTGAGGCCAAGAGCCCTTTTCAGTCCTGAAAATATTATTTGTTTTAAGTCATTTCCAAAGCAAATTGCAGCAAGAAATTAAACGGGATCCTGAAAGATGGAAAAACCTAAATTGTTCCCAGTGGGAATCAGTTTCCATCATCAAATTGCACAAGTCCAACAGGAATAAATACTGGAAACACCCCAGGATGGAAGGAATTTCCTGCCAGATTTGGGGGAAAAGAAAAGAGACCCAGAAGATGGGGAAGACACACACAGCATGTTTTGGAGAATTGCAGGGATCCCATTCAAAAGAAAACCACATTTTTTAAAAAAATAGGTAGAATACCGGAACATTTATTTATTTATTAAATTTGTTTGCCACCATCTCATGATAAAATGACTCTAGGCAGCTGACAGCAGGGCTTTTCAAGTGGTAGTACGTGTACCACCTGTGGTACATGAGCACAAGGCAGATGGTATGCTGTCCTGCCCAGCCAAGTGTAGTGGGGGAGGGAACAAGCCACGCAAGCAAGGACTTACTGTGAGAGAGTCCTCTGGAGCTGCAGAGTGGCTGGGGCGAGGCAAAGGCCCCAGGCTCATTTCAGGTTCACCCCCTCCCCCATGAGAAAGGAGGAAAAGGGCACGGAGACAGGAGAGGCTATAAAAGGAGGCAGTTTGGGCCAGGAAAAGGAGAGAGAGAAAAAGAAGCAGCCTTGGGAGGAGGTGGAGTCAGCTCTAGCTGCACGGAATGAAAAGAAGAAGGAGAAAGGGGAAGAGGAGAGGAGATCAAGCAGTCTGGCCACTAGATCTACAGTTTCTGTGGCAGCCATCTTTGCTGGCAGCAACCAAGAGGAAAGGAACGTAGGGAGGAGGGGCTGCCCTCCATGAGGAATGAAGAAAGGCAGCAATGAACAAAGGCAGCACCCGCTGGAGGTGAGGCAAGGAGGGAGATGGAGAGTGGAAGGATTCTTTTGTGCTTTTGTGACTTTGAAGTTCTGGGATTTGTGCAATGAGGGCTTTGTGTTCTTAAGGAGTGTTTGGCAATTTCTATTTGGCTGATGGCTGATGTCTCCCGTTAGCTTCTACTGCTCTGCTATTGTTAGGTGTAAGTTTTGCTGCAAGGGATTTTGAAGTATTTTTCTCCTGAATGTATTTTGCCTGTAGCATTCCTTTACTTAGGAATGGAGCCATTTGGGGAGGCTGCCTTAGCCAGCAGTAGTACTACATTTTTTTTTCTTCCTTAAGTGCCGACTGCACTCCTTAACTTTCCTTTCTAGCCAGTAACTAATTCTTAAAGGGGAATGAGCCTTTTTAAGCTAGTTCCCTCAATGGCTTGTCTTTTCTGTCTCTGGAGGCTTTTCCTTGTTCAATGAATCTATGGAAGAAGGGAAATAGGGGGGCGGTCAAATTCTTCCTTCAGAAGGAGATGGGAATGAGAAATAGGGAGGCAAGGAAGGAGGGAGAGAGGGAAGGAAGTCCCGCCTTCGCACTTGGCCACCTGCCAATGACTTTGCTTGTCAAAAGATTGCAGAAGGGGATCACATGACCCTGAGACACTGTGAACATCATAAATATGAATCCGTTGCCAAGCATCCAAATATAAATCACATGACCCTGGGCATGCTGCAATGGTCATAAGTGTGAAAAATGGCCATAAGTCATTTTAGAGGAATTGCAACTTTGAACAGGTTTTTTTTTGGTCATCAAGTGTTTGACACCTTGCTAAGTAGTACTCGAATATTGCCATATATTGTAAAAGTGGTACAGTCAGTGAAAAGGTTGAAAAGCCCTGGCTTACAGCATTAGAACATTAATGTCCTAACAGATAAATATTTCTATAACAATCAAAATGGAATTCCCAATCAAGATAAAATTATAGTTAAAAGATGGGGAGGAACAGGAGGTGTGAGGGGGGAGGGGGGATTGCCTCTGAATTCAACAACTACCTCCAGTGTGAGGCTCCCCATGAGGACCCCCTGATTTTGAGCCAGACTTCGCCTAATCTGTACTTGAACCTTTGGTTTTTTCTGCCCAGGTTCCCCCCCCCCAACCTCTCCCTGCAGCTTCCGGCCTCCCTCCCAGCCCCATTTCCCCTGGGGAGGGAGGTGGGGAGGGGTCCTACCCTCCTACCTGGGTGGGGGGCAGGGAGGGGTCTAGGACAACTCAGCCAACTCAACGCAGCACAAAAGTTACACAATATGGAAGAAAAGGAGAAAGAGAATCAGGAAAGGAAGGAGGCTGAGGGAGGAGGAAAATGAAATGTGAAGGACAAAAATTTAAAAAAAAATTAAAAATTATTTTAAATAATTGAACAAAATCGTTGAATTGTCCTGCAGTGAATTGCCCCATTCCGGACAGGGAGGGGGGAAAGGATCTGGGGGGGATCTTGAGGAAAGGGAAGGTGGGGGCAGCTGGTGACTGAGGAGATCAGGCAGATCCCAGGATCACAGAAGAGCCTTAGAAGGGATCCCTCTTGATCTCCTCCTTCAGCAAATGGCACAACTGTTGGGTGGATTAATGGGCGGGGCTGAGTGAGCCCCCCCAAGAGGGTCCTTCTTAGATCCACTCCAGATCAGAGAACTTTTGCTAACAACGTTTCTCTCCTTTGAGGGATTCCCTGATGAACAGCTCATTATATAAAGTTTAAGAACGTGTAATTTTTAAAGGTTTGGTTATTTGTAATTTAGTCCTGGGATCTGGTCGGGATTTTTTTTATGAACAGTTAATTATCCTCCTAGGTTTGCAGGGAAGAATTTAGGAGAAAAAATGAATTCCAGACTGAATATGCAGAGAACAAAATCTCTGTCGGTTCTCCTTAAATATTCCATAATTTCCGGAAGGAGCAGATGCCCAGCTTCACCTGGTAAAATGCCTTTTTCTCTTGGGATCTGGCGCTTTTTCTCTTGTGGAAGAAAGACCTTAGTTAATTCTTTGGTAGCGTTTTATTTTTGGAGACCCTGGGCTCACAATGGGAATATTAAATTGATCCAATTTTTGAGTAATGATGCTTTAAAGACTTTGGATTCTACCAAAGGAATATAATTTCCCTGTAAAGGCCAAATGGCAACAACTGCAGATAAAACTCTTGTTTTGCACAATGAAACCTTATCAGTTGATAGAAATAAATAAGGCTTTTTATATATACAAAGAAATAAAATTAGAAAAACAAAGGTAGGCGATTTGTAAGGAATCTGGATGAGAGAATTCAACTATCCATGATTCCATGGCGCCATGTCAGGGCTGAATTAAGGTGGGATGTGTTTCTTATGACCCCAAATCCAATTTTTATCTTGGTGGGTGTTCTGGGACTCCCTCCCCCAATTCAGAAACCTTCCCAGGTGTGAAGAGGGAAGCGATTTGGCTGCAGGTGAAGCCGAGTCTGTGGCCAAAAAGGGAGTTTCCAGGGGGACTTTTTTCCCAGACCCCCAAAATTGGCTGAACCAAGTTTCTCAGCCTTTGAATCAGCTTCTGCTCAAGACAAACACCAGACTAGGATTCCCTGTGATTGTGGATTACATTTTAGTTTAAACATTGAATGGTGATTATGAATTCTAACTGGCTTCCATTATTTGTTTGTTGGATTTAAAGGTACAAATGACGCTGAATAAAGAATAAGAAATAGAATGAACTGGAAGGTGAATAGGACACAGCAGACAAAAGAGCCTTCACTAATTCCCTTTTCCAGACCTTTGGAAGTTCAATTTAATTCAAAAATCCCAAAGGCCCCAGAGGTGAAGGGAGCCTCTTCCCCCCCCCCCCCCGGCCTTCTGGAAAGGGGTCAAAATGCGGCTCTGGGGCTTTGCTGGGGGGGGGGCAGAGAAAAGGATGCTTTTAATGAATTTTTCCCACTGACTTTTAACAGTTCCTGCCTTTTAGATGTTCAATTGTATAGCCTATTTTGGTGGTTTGATGTTTTATCTGTACACCACCCAGAGTTCCTCTGTGAAAAAGACAGATAGTTTTAAAAGTTGATAAATAAATCAATAAATATTATTGATTTATTAATTTAAAATATTATATTGAAATGGTATATAGTATATAGATTATATTGAAATATCTCTATATACTGGGAAAGAGAGAGACCTTGCTGGATTCCTCCCCCCCAAAGAAAAATATAATATTTGGTATAATGTTGTGGAAAGAAGTTTTTCTGGGCAGGGGAAACTTTGGACCTTGGGAAGAGAAGGAAGATGATGGGAGGGATGGGAAGGAGAGGAATCTATTTCTTCCCTTTGGCATGTTTCATGGTCATCGTTGTAGAATTTTAAACTTTTTAAGTGTAATTTAATTTTAAAGCTTATTTGTTATACATTTTTATTTAGGGGTGATGTTATAGTGTAGGCCATGCAGATCCCCGCTTTGAGGGGGGCGGTTTAGGAGTATCAATAAATATCAATAAATACCAATGAGTAAATTTCATAAATCTGAGAGTAGAGAATAGATAAGATAAGATAAGATAATAAGATAACCTTTATTGTCATTTTTTTACTGTGGGCACAACGGCTCACATCCAAAACGAAATTGAGTTGCCCGCTCTCAAAGTGAAAGACATGCATGACACACCCTAAAAACAACCTACGTGCAACATATGTTCAGACCCACAGCAATCGACATACATAACAAATAAATATTAAACACTGTCCCTCCTGAGTATGTAAGGGAAGGAGGAAACTGGAGAGTCCTAAGAAATGAAAGGAAAAGGGGGGGCCCCGGCATTTCCCCCCCCCCCATGGAACTCCCCCTCCCCCACTCACCTCTCCGGCCAACCACAGAATTTCTCTGGGAAACCTCGTAGTTGGGTCGGCAATAGTCATCCACGGAGGCTTTCTGGTACTGCAGGAGGCGCTTATCCCTGTTGAAAGTCTCCGCATCGACCTTCCCCAACGCCGTGACGGCCTCGTACTCCCCGCGGGCGCTGTCGAAGCGGAGATACTCCTCCCGGTCGTAGAGGTTCCTGTACAGGTATCGCACCTGCTGCGTCCCGTTGAGGAAATGGCACTCGAACTTCACCTGGACCAGGAAATGGGCTGCGGGCAGGAGGAGGAGGAGGGGGGGGGGTCAGGAGGGACTCCACGGTCCATGGTTCCCAGCCTCTCCTAGAGGAGGGACACAGGCTTGTCAGAGGAGGGGAGGGAGACCTGCCGCGAGAGGCTACCAAAAGGCGCCCCCTGGAGGAGGGATGGGGAACCGTCGGTCCCAGCGGGATTCCCCCTCCCTTAATGGGGGTCGGGGGAGGGGAGGAAAATGAGGGAGGGGAGGAGCTTCCTGAGGGACCGCCTCCTTCTCCCCAGGGTAGAAAAAGGCAGGCAGAAGTTCAGCTGGTCCAGCACTCGCTCTGTCTGCGAGGAACCTTGGATCCCGGTGGGGCCTCTTTGCCCCCCCAAACTAGCAGGAAATATGGGGGGAGGGAAGAGACCCCCCCTGGGCTGGGTCCATGCTTCCCTCTCCCTCTTCCTTTGGGGCGGGGACACAATCAGGATACCCACACCCATGCTCCTGGGCTCTCCCTGCCCTTCAAGCCCCACATCCCCTTTTCTTCTCCCCCCCCCTTGCCCCCATCTTCAGCCCCATAAGCTGCCTTATGGGGCTGAAGATGATTTTCGAGGCCTCTTTCCTGTCCCTCCCCAAAAGACCCCCCTGCAGTCCCCCAAGGCCACCTCAGAGGGAGGGGCTCCAGACCCCTTCACTAAAGGGGGAGTTTGCAGGAGCAACTCAGACCCCCCCCAATATCCCTCCCAACAGAAGCGGAGAAGGCGAGGGAGGGGAAGATTTTCAGTCTCGGGGTCTGCAAATTTAGGGGGGTGTCCGGGGGGTTGTGGACTTCCTTTTTTGCCCCCTCCCATGAATCTCAACCACAGTCCCCCTTTCTCTATGTGCTTGCAGGGGTGGACTAGATGCCCCTTTAAGCTCCCTTAAGACCCCCCCCGGGGAGCCCAGGCTGGGATATTGGAGACTTCGGAAGGGCTGAGGGGAGCTGGGGGGGTCTCTCCTGAGACCCTCCCTCCCCCTGGTCTCGCTTGGCCCAAAGGGCAGCTGGACTTTCCTGGTTCTCCCCTTGAAGACTTTTCGCTTCTCATCCCAGAAGCTTCTTCAGTTCTGACTGAAGGGTGGAGGGTGGAAGGACGGATGTTCCTTGCTGTCATTTTGAAAGCCGATCTCTGGTTCTCTGAGGGTCCTTGAGGACCCCAGGGGTTTATCTGGGTCCTCAGGGTCCCCTGAATTGGAGGGGCAAAGGAGTGGGGAGCCTTCCTGGAGCTGCCGAAAGGACCCCGTTGTGGGCAGGAGATGGGGGGTCCTTTCCCTCCCCCCACTCTGTTGAGGGGGGGCTGCTCAAATTTGACCTAGATGGGTTGGGGGTCTGGGGATCGTGGGGAGAAGAGAACCCCCCAGATTCCCTAGTTACCCCCAAATTTTCTTTCCCATCAACTTCACTCCTACTGGCTGCCTTTGCATGATTTGTGGGTTTAGCCCTCTTTTCTGTCCCCCTGCAGCCCCCCAAGACCACCTCAAAGGGAGGGTCTCCAGCCCCCCTCACCCAAAAAATCGTTTTGAGTAGCCAATTTAGGGGAGCAATTCAGACGCCCCCAATATACTTCTCCCTCAGTTCCCCCCTCCCCTCCAGGTCCTCCCCAAATTCAGAGTCTCCCCCAAGAAGAAATCCAGCTCAACTCTTCCCTCCCCTTAAAAAAATGGAGGTTCAGAAGAAAAACTGAGGTTGCAAAAACACTTTTGCCAAAAAGCGTCTTTTTTCTTATACATTTGGTGGCCTTTGTGGATTCAGGTGTGAAAATGCCTCAGTTTCCCTCTTTCGCTTTCGCTTTCCGTCTTCTTCCTCTTTCAGTGCAAGAAACGTTGGGGCTCAGGCGCTAATTTGGGGTTCGCAAGGTCCACCCAGCCACGGGGGGGGGCGAGAGACGGGGTCCAGCGGCCTCTTATCCCATCTCGGCTGCCTTCTCACGACCCTCGCCCACCTCGGCCATAATTAGGGAACGGGGGCTCCCTCTTCGCCCTGCGGGGGAAAATGCGGCGAGGGAGGGAGACCACGCGGAGATCGAGGCACCTGCAGTCTCACGCCTCTCTTGCCTTCGACCTCTTTCCCTACTTCAGGGGTCCCAGCCCCTTTCTCCCCCCCTCAGGAGCCCTGACAGCACCTCCCAGCCCCTCTCCGAGCCCCCTCCTTACCGGGCGTCTCCTTCCCCCCTTCGCTTCCGGCGATCCCTTCTCTTTGCTGGCCTTTGTGGATTCAGCTCTGAAAATGCCTCAGTTTCCCTCTTTCACTTTCGCTTCCCGTCTCCTTCCTCTTTCGTTGCAAGAAACTTTGGGGGTCAGGAGCTAATTCGGGGTGCGCAAGCCACGGTGGGGGGCGAGAGAGGAGCCCAGCTGCCTCTTAACCCAACTTGGTTACTTTCCCGAGACCCCTCTCCGTCCTCCTGAGGGAGGGGGAGGAGACCACGCGGAGATCGACGCTCCTGCAGGCTCCCGTCTCTCTTGCCCTCCACCCCCTTTCCCCTACTGGGGTTCCAGCCCCTCTCCTCCCCCCTCTGAGCCCCCTCCTTACCGGGGGTCTCCTTCCCCCCTTCGCTTCCGGGGATCCGATCCAGCGCCCCCGCCAGCAGCAGCAGCAGCATCAGGGGGAGCCCAGCGGAGCCCATGGACGCCGCCCCACAAGCGCCCCCAGAGAGACGAGAGACGGAGACGCGGAGGCTCCCAGCCCCAGAGGCGGAATCGGGGGCTGGATTGGGGGGGGGGAGAAGGAAGCGTTTCGCTCGAACTTCGGAACTGGGAGGGCCCAGGAAAGCGGAAGGCCCAATGGGATTTCTCCCTTTTGCAGCGTCATCGGTCTCCGGGCAGAGCCTCCCTTGACTTCGCCCGATGGAGGAGATAGTTCGGCGCAGAGAGAGAAGCCGAGAAAGTGGGGGGGGGGGAACAATCCCTTCAGTCGGGGGGGGGAGCTGCCTTTTAGGGGGGCGTTTCATGCCAGCTCCGGAGGGGAGGGAGGACTTCCTTTTGCGCCCCCCCTCGTGATTCTCAACCAGAGCCTCCTTTTCTCTGGGTGTCTGGAGGGGTGGACTAGATGCCCTTTCAGTTCCCAGAGGGAGCCTAGAGCAAAGTGGAGCCAGAGCTTGAGGGCTCCTCTTGGGCTCACCCGGCTCAGTTTGGGGGCAGGAAGCCCCCCCCACAGGTCTGGACCATGTGGGGGGGGAACTGCAGACACACACACACACACACACTCGCAAACTCCTCAGGCAACCGATGCCAGATGTTATATCAGAACCACATCCTCCACAAATCCTGGAGCAGCGGGGAAGAACCGAGGATTGGAAAAGGGCTGATGTGGTTCCCATCTTCAAGAAAGGAAAAAAAAAAACAGACCCAGGAAACTGCAGACCAATCAGTTTAACTTCAATATCTGGGAAGATCCTAGAAAAGATAATCAAAAAAGAGATCTGCGAACAACTAGAAGCAAACAAAGTCATAACCGGGAGCCAGCACGGGTGTGTGGAGAACAGATCATGCCAGGCCAATCTCATCTCATTCTTGGATCAAGTGACTGAATCAGTAGACCAGCGAAACGCAGTGGACGTCGCATGCCTAGATTTCAGTAAGGCTTTTGACAAAGTAGACCACAACCTGCTCCTTGCTAAACTAGGAAAAGGTGGGATAAACAACATCACCACCAGATGGATCTGTATGTGGCTGACAAGCCGTACTCAACGAGTAGCCCCCAATGGCGCCACATCCACATGGAGAGAAGTAAGCAGTGGGGCACCACAAGGCTCCGTCTCTTCTCTTCTCTTCTCTTCTCTTCTCTTCTCTTCTCTTCTCTTCTCTTCTCTTCTCTTCTCTTCTCTTCTCTTCTCTTCTCTTCCTATTCTAATTTTAAATGTATTGGTTATAGCTTGCAATGTATCATTCTTCCGCTGCAAATGTATCCGCCCAAGGAGAAAGTTCTGGGCTGCTTGCCAGCAGTTGTGTACTCGAAGCGTAGCCTGTGACAAGCTGTAACTGAGCTAACCTGACAGATAAAGAAAACAAGTATTCAAACGAAAAAAAGGAATCTTTTAGCCTGTTAGCCTGAGAAAGTGCCTTAGCTATAAAAGTGGAAAAAAAAAAACATAATGTGTGTGCGTTTTCTCCTCCGTCTCGCTGTGCGTGTGACAAGAGATTGAGACATCGGGCTCTTCTCTGATCAAACCATAAAGCTGTATTCTTTTCCGTAGCCTCGTATTCAGAGTCTCTCGGAGATTTGTGTGGATTCTGAGCTGAAAAGCCTCAGGGAATAAAGGGCTGTGACCAGGGCGGTTGGGGCTTTCATTGTTCTTCATGCCTTTTATGATTAATTTGATCAGGAGCATTTTAGCCTAAAAATAGTCGATATGTGGGCTAAGGCGTTTGAATTTTTTAATAAAGTGGTAGCAGACCAGCGAAATGCTGAGGACGTGGTAGACTTAGACTTCAGTAAGACCTTTGACAAGGTAGACCACAAAACCATTCCATTCCATGTTCTGTTCCGTTCCATTTTCTATTCCATTCTGTTCTGTTCTGTTCCGTTCCAATCCATATTTTGTTCTATTCCGTTCCATTCTGTTCCATATTTTACTTCGTTCTGTTCCGTTTCATTCCATTCCCTGTTCTGTCTGTTCCGTTCCATTTCGTTCCCTATAAACTGACTCCAGGGGGACTGGGCCAGCCTGTCAGTCCAGAAGCCCAAATCTCTTCCGGCTTTGAACCCACAGCAGCTTCATCTCCACTTCCTCGGAATCCCTTCCCTTCACTGTAAAAGAATAAAATTTAAATTGTAGAAAACCCTGTTGTTCCTCCTCCCTCCCTCCCTCCCTCCCTCCCTCCCTCCCTTCCTCCCTTCCTTCCTTCCTTCCTCTTCCTCCTCCTTTTTCTTACCTCTCCAAGAGGACCCTCCCTGCTCCCCTCCCCCTCCCCGTATTGAGGCCTCCCCTACCTCCTTATTGACAAACCGGGCTAGTTTAGGTCTAAATCCTGAACCGGTTCGGGAGGAGGGTGGGCAGATCCCAGGGAGGGGAAGGGGCAGGACCCCCTCCTCAATCTCTCCAAGCCCTGCCAGAGGGAGGGGACCCCTGGGAGACCCCCTATTCCTGCTTCCCCTGGAGAGCCTCTTCCGTGGCTGGGAAGCTGCTGGAGCTGGAGGTTCTCCTGGCTTCATCCGGGCCTCTTTTTCCAGGATCGGAGCCCCTTTGAGCCCCTCACAAGCCCGGAGAGGCTGCTGCAATATTCGCACCCAGCGCCCCTTCCTCCCTCTTCGGAGCCCTGATCCCCTCGTTTGCTCCCCTCCAGACGAACTCCCCCCCCGTCCATCTCTCCCCCCCAAAAGGTGCCAGGGCCGGGGAGGGCGGAGAGCAGGGCGGCCTCCCTGGGGATGGGGGAGGGGGGGAGAGACGTCCCTCCCTGGATCGCCTTCGCTGTGTCTGCCGGTGGGTGAAGTCACAAAGGACTTTGCCCGGAGACCGATGACGCTGCAGGAGGGAGAATTCCCATTGGTTCCTCCCCTTGGAGGTACTTCCAGTTCTGAAGTCCGAGGAAAACGCCTCCCTCAGATTCCGCCTCTGGGGCCGGGGGCGTCCCTGGGCTCCGCCGGGGATTCCCTGCTGCTGCCGGGCGGGGGCGCTGGGCCGGATCCCTGGAAGCCAAGGGGGGAAGGGAAACCCCGCTCAGGAGGGGCTGGGCGGGCGGAGGTCAGCGCTCCTGGGGGAGGGCGAGAAAAAGGGGCTGGGACCCCAGACGTGACTTTGGGAGAGGGGTGGAGGGCGAGAGAGACTGCGGGAGCCCCCCCACTCCCTCCCATCATCCCCCCCCAGGAGGACGGAAAGAGGCCCCTCCCTTTGCTGGCTGTGGCCGAGGTGGGGAGGGGGTCGCTGGAAGAGAGCCGAGGGGCGATTTCCTGAGGGGGCAATCTCCTTCTTCCTAGCCTGGATGTCCCAAGGATTCTCTCTGGCGGCTGAGGGGGTCCCAGTCCCCCCTCCCACCCCCCACTCCGCTCAGGGATCCCGAGAGACGCTTCCACCCCCAAGACAGATGCCCCGCCTCCAGTGAGCCCCCCCCATGGGGGGAGCCCACCGGCTCTCGGGGGGCCCCTGAGGCTGCTTTCCCCGAGGGGGGTCTTTCCAAGGGGGGGTCGCCATTCCTTGCCTCCCCCCTCCTGGGAAAAAAGTTCCCCCTGGGAATCGGAGGGTTTCCCTCCCCCCCTCCAGAGCGAGGCGGCGAGGGGTTCCCCTCCCAGGGACGGAGCAGGAAAGGGGGGGCTTTTCCCCGGCCGGTTCCCAGGAATGAGCGAGAAACGAGGAATGGATCCAGATTCAGTCAGAGCACAAACTGCACCCGGGAGAGAGAAAAAGGAAGGGAGGGAGGGAGGGAGGGAGGGAGAGGCAATTTGGTTGGAAATGCCCCAGTTCAAAGGAGAAAGCTATTTTGTGTTCTGTTTTGTCACAGACAGAACACTGTTGGCAATCCAAGTTAACACCGGCATTCTTGAATTGTGAGGAGGAAGGAAGGAAGGAAGGAAGGAAGGAGGGAGGGAGAGAGGGAGGAAGGAAGGAGGGAGGGAGAGAGGGAGGGAGGGAGAGAGGGAGGAAGGAAGGAAAGAAGGAAGGGAGAGAAAAAGGAAGGAAGGCAGGAAGGAGAGAGGGAGGAAGGGAGGATTCTCGCTTTCCCCCCTCTGATCCCCCCCCTTGAGATCAACAACAGCCCCTCTTCAACCAAATCCGACCTATTTCAAGGGGTGAAAATCCCCCCCAGCGCTGGGGGCAAAACCTCCCCCCCTCCGGCAGCCCCTTTGCCGGGAACGGGAAGGGTCCAAGCAGAGGCTTTCAGGAGGGGGGGAGGGGACTGGCCCCAGGAAGGGGGGAGGGCCAGTCCCACCCAGGACGTAGATTTGGCCTCCTTCATACAGGGCCAGGAAACGCGTGTCTCTCTGTGTGTGAAGGTGCCCAGTCAGCCGCCTCAGGGACCCCCAAATCCTCGGTGGCTGCGGGGCTGCCCCTCCCCTTCTGCCCTCCCCTGCAGCCCCCCGGCCCTTCTAGGCAGGACCAAGGGGGGGAGGGCAAAAGGAAGTGCACGCTCCCCTGCAGGGCTGGTCTGAGACCCCCCTTGAGCTGCGCCCCCCCCCGACTGAAGGGATTCCCCCCCCCCACATGCACACTTTCTCCGCTTCTCTCTCTCTGCCGAACTATCTCCTCCATCGGGCGAAGTCAAGGGAGGCTCTGCCCGGAGACCGATGACACGGCAGGAGGGAGAATTCCCATTGGTCCCTCTGCTTTTCTGGGCCCTCCCAATTCCAAAGTTCGAGGAAAACGTCCCCTCCCCCCAATCCAGACCCCCCGATTCCGCCTCTGGGACTGGGAGCTTCTGTGTCTCTGTCTCTGGTCTCTCTGGGGCGCTTGTGGGGCGGCGTCCACGGGCTCCGCGGGGCTCCCCCTGCTGCTGCTGCTGCTGGCGGGGGCGCTGGCCCGGATTCCCGGAAGCGAAGGGGGGAAGGAGACCCCCGGTAAGGAGGGGGGGTGGCGGGGGAAGGAGGAGGTTTGGGGGAGGAGGGGGCTGGGAATCACCCCCGAGACTCGTGGGGGGGGGCAGAGGGGGAAGAAAGCTGCTAGCTCTTCAGACGGTAAGAGTGACGGGAGCCAGCGACAGCCTCGATCTCTGCGTGGTCTCCTCCTCCTTCCCTCCCCACTTCCCCCCCCCCAGGAGGGCGGAGAGGGACCCCCTCTTTCCCGATTGTAGCAGAGGTGGGGAGTCGCAGCCGGGCCCCTCTATCGCCCCCCCTCTCCAAAATGGCCGGGTCGGAGTCGGAGCGGCTGCGTGGAAAGAGGAAGGGGAGGGAAAGCGAAAGCGAAAGAGGGAAACTGAGGCATTTTCAGACCTGAATCCACACAAGGAAAAAGCTGCATTTTGGCCAAAGTATTTTTGCTTCTTCAAAGACTTCAAGTTTTCTTCCCAAATCTCAAATTTGAGGCTTTCAAAGTCAGGCCGGAGTTGAGCTTCGGTCCCTTCCGGGGGAGGCTCTGAATTTGGGGAGGAGGCCGAGAAACCCCCACCCCATAATCCCCCTTTGCTCTATCGGGACCTGGAGGGAGGGGGGAAGCGAGAGAGGAGCATTTGGGGGACTCTGAAAGGCTCCCCTATGGCTCCCAAAACAATCCCTATCGTGAGGGGGGCTGGAGACCCTCCCTTTGAGATGCTCTTGGGGGGGCTGCAGGGGGGCTTTTGGGGAGGGCGAGAGGAAACAAGTCTGAATCTCGAAAATCATCCCAAGGCAGGGAGTTGGGCTGAAGGTTGGGCAGAGGGTCTCCAGCAGAGGGAGTCCTGGGCGAATCTCACGTGTGGCCCCCAACTGGAGCTCATCTGAGACCCCCCCTCAGAAAAGGCCCTGAGTGGTCCTGTGGCCAATGGCCTTGATCTCTGGGGAGGTCGCCCTGATGTCCATCTCCCTGGTCTGAGGGCTCCTGGGCAGGGGGTGTTGGGAAGGGTGTCTTCCCCAGGGCCTCTTGGGGCCAGAGCAGAAAGTCCAGCCGAAGCCATTCCTGGTGTGGGAGACATTTGCCCTCAGGGGGGAGGGAGGGGGAGCAGCTCTGCGGGAGAGAGGAAAGGTCAAGGGGGCAACTCTGAGTGGAAGACCCCTCCCTTCTCCCCAGCACCCCTAGATGCCCCCAGATAGCTCTCCCACTGAGCCTTGCCCCCTCCAGAGGCCATCCAGACTGGTTCTGCAGGATTCCCGTGGCATCGATCTCCAAGGGCTGATTTTGTCTCCCTCCCATTCCTCATCTGGGGCACATAAAGACTAGGTCGGTGGAAGAACAGTCTCAAAACCTTACAACACAATGCCTCTCTTCACAATATTATGAGATCGTTATGCAGTCACCATCACCTTAGATGCAAACTAAATAGGGCTACCCCATATTTTCCTGGAACATAATTATGGGCTGCCACCTGGGGGAACTCGGGGAAGTATGTGTTGATGTACAGGAGCAACAGGCTTAGTTCCTTGCATCATCAGGAAGAGCCAGCAGGTGTAGGAATTTCTCACTCTTCCGTTGGACTCTTTTACTCAGCTGAACAAGAAGGGCTGGAGAAGAGAGGAGAACATTACAGGGTTTACTAGACCCAAACCTCCTTTCTTCTCCCTCCCAGTGATAGAATTGGAGTTAGAAAGGGCTCTTTGCCTTGAGGGGGGAGCCCCTTTCTGTGGACTCTCCCCTGCCCACCTTGCCCTCACAGGCAGTGAGTATTAGTGGGTCAGTGAGGCTACAAATGGCAAAACTAGCCAATCTGAAAAGAAAGTCAATTATTAGTAATTTAGGTCTTTGCCCAAGAACCGCAGGGAGCAGACAGAGGCTAGCTGTATTTCTGAAAGTGCACTGAAGTCTAGAAATAATGTTGAGCTCCTGGTGTTACCCCAGAAGCGGCCAATTATCTTGTGTAATGAGTACTGTATGTGCAGAGAGGGAAATGGGGACAAACTGACATGTTGTTCAACAATAAAGTGTCAAGCTGTGAAGATCCCTTGCTTTAGAACTGCCATGATGCTTCTGGCTGATTTCTGTGTTACATGTACCCTGCCTGTGTTGTAAAAAATGCTGCATTAAAAGGCTAATAAAGAATGGATATATGTTAACTATTGGGCCTAGACCTACTCTGGTAATTACTATTTGTATTTTAATAATTATTTTCAGTGAAGTCTGATTCATAGTTGAGATTTTAACATTTTATAGGATGATTTATGCCACAGGTTAAATATTTACATCCCCTTATAAATTTAGACATTGCAATAAAAGAGAAGTAGAAAGTGTGTGAATGAAAGTTGAGGGGGGGAGGAATTGAATAGTTTCAGGCTTGTATGGATCCTGGTTGTGCAAATTATGTTTTCACCTGTGTACGTTGTTAGATCACACCCCTTTATTAGCATAGGTGTAATAGTGTCCACAATAGTATCCCTCACATGTTGGCTGTCTTTGTTTGTCTGCATCAGGTCCTATGTGACTCACCCTATGTGGTTTTATTGTGTAGTCTATTTATTTGTTTAGATGGTATCTAATCAATTTCATAACATCTGTTGGTCTGTCTGTTTAACAAAAAGATTGGGCCAGGAAAGGATCCTCTCTCTCTCTCTTGCGGATTTCCTATTGCTGCATCTTCATTTCCTTTATCAAGATCCAGGCTGTGCTGATATTAAGTCACTCTTATTCTAAGTTGTATCCAAGGCTATTTCACTTGAGAAAAAATAACCTTAAGAATTTTTCTTCTGCTCCTTTCCAAGATCTTAGTGAATAGCTTCAATCTGATTTTATACTATTTCTGCCGAAGAAACTACATTAGCTGGAAGACATCAGTGGCAAAGTAATCCCAAAGCAATAAATAAATAAACCAAAAGAGAAGAATGAGAGTGTGTGAAATTATAGCATAATATGTGGTTGAAGAGCAGGCAACACCCCCCTCCCTCCCTCCCTCCCTCTCCCCCTCCCTCCCTCCTTCCCTCCCTCTCTCTCCCCCTCCCTCGCTTCTTCCCTCTCCCTCCCCTCCCCTCCTCTCTCCCCCTCCTTCCCTCCCTCCCCCTCTCTCTCTCCCCTCCCTCTCTCCCTCCCTCTCTCTCTCCCTCCCTCCCCCTCCCTCCCTCTCTCCCTCCCTCTCTCTCTCTCTCCCTCCCCCCGCTCTCTCTCCCTCCCCTCTCTCCCTCTCTCCCTCCCTCCCTCTCTCTCCCTCCCTCCCTCTCTCTCCCTCCCCCCTCTCTCTCCACAAATGTTTTAGAGTTTGATGGGTAGCAATTTTATTTATATAAAGAAAGATAAAGCGATAGCAGGTGGCAATCTCAGGTCCTTGGCCATGTCTTGAAGATATCCATGGTCGTAGATGGAGATGGCATTATTTTCCCCTTTCCCTATACAAATGAGAAAAAAATAATAAGTTGATCAAAGTGAGTTTAAAGTAAATTCTTTGCTTTGCAAAGCTTTGCGAATGCAAACAATATCAGGCAGAGAATCACATTATGTACTGATCTGTAGTATCTCTATTGGAGGAGAGTTGTCTTACCTTCTACAGCACTTCAGTAGTGGCTCACAGCCCAGCTGACCAATTTCAGAAGTTGTAGGAGGACATTGGGCGACACGGCAGAATCCGCCTACCCGATGACACTGTCGTTGGGCATTCCCTATGAAAAGAAAAAGAGGAGACAGGTAAACGATGAGTAAAGATTCCTTAATATTTGAATATATTTTCCCTTCCAAGACACTACCTTCTTCTACAGAACTGCAGGATTCCTTTATCAATTTATATTTTTATTCATTTACAACATAAAAATATCAAAATAAAAAGCAAATAGTAAGGAACAACTATAGGGAAAGAGGAAAAGGGGAAATGTGGAAAGGGGGGGAGAAACAAAAGGTGTTGACTTCCGATTCCCTGTTGCAGTAAAATAAGGCATGAAAATCGAATCTCAACTTTTTGCATTTCTGTATTAGTATGAACTAGCCTTTTCTCTATCAACAAATCAGTCTAATCAGTAAACCCCAAAATCATAGTATCATTTTTTCCACCTCAAGCACAAAGGCCAGAAGCAGTTTCCAAGCAGAAACAATAGTACTTATATTCCTTTCTTTTATCAAAACTGTCAGTTTAGCCAAATTCACTCAGTCAGCTTTCAGGCCCAAGGTGGGACTAGAACTCAGTACCCAGAGTTGTTGTGTTTTGCTCTAATCACTAGACCAAACTGTTTCTCCATTTTGCCTCCTTATTCAAACAAACATATTTGGCTGAGAATTGGGTAAACCAATACTAAAGTGAAGCGTACTCAAAAAAAATAAGCTACAGTAACAAAACCCCCAATAAAGTTATTTAAAGAATTGTGGATCAAAAGAAAAATCAATGGCATATTTATCTTTATCAAGATCTAAGCTGTGCTTATGTTAAGTCATCAGACAAAGTCATTCTTATTCTAAGTTGTATTTAAATGGTATTCAAGATGGTATTTAACTTGAGAAAAAATAATCTTAAGAATTTTTTTTCTGCTTCTTTCCAAGATCTTAGTGAAAAGCTTAAATCTGATTTTATACTATTTCTGCCCAAGCAACTACATTAGCTGGAAGACATCAGTGGCAAAGTAATCACTACAATAAATAAATAAACTGAAAGGGAAGAATGAGACTGTGTGAAATTATAGAATTATAGCACAAATTATAGCAAATTATAGCACAAATTATAGCAAATTATAGCACAAAGTCCAGAAGCAGTATCCAAGTACAAACAAAAGTACTTATATTCTTTTCTTTTATCAAAACTGTCAGTTTAGCCATCTCTGCTAACTCCATCAGCTTTTGTAACCGTTCATCCAAGATGGGAATGGAAACATCCTTCCAACAATTGCAGGATTCCTAGGACCACAGCAACTTTTCTCTGACCACACAGATCCATCTCTGCTGATCTCCTGCAGCAGCTCAAATAAATCAGCCATTAACCCAGGTTTGAGGTCTGACTCAAAGATGAAATAGCTGGTAAGCCTACATCTATTAATGTAGGAGGAAAGAAATAATTCTATTTCATATGAAGGATAGACCTTGCTGTGATATATTTCTCTCTGGTATTGCCATGGATCCTTGCTGAGTTAGAGTGGCCAGTTGCATTGTATGTTTTGGATGAAGACCTTGAGTGAGCTGAGAATTTGGTAAACCAGTGTTAAAGTGAAGCAAATCAACAAAAATAAGCTACAATAACAAAACCCCCAATAAAGTTCTTTCAAGAATTGTGAATCAAAAGAAAAATCAATGGCATATTTTTCAAATCTTTGGAGGCTCATGTTGTCAATTGTCTATACTGTTCAAAGCTATTTCTGTAAAGTAAAACAAAAAGATGTTGGAGATTATCCTGCTTTCAGTGATATTCGTATTTGTTTAAAAAGGTGTGAGTTACCAATCCTTTGTAAATTATCAGTAATTTTATTTCTTACCTGGTTCAGACAGGAATGCAAGGAAAAGAAATGCGAATAGCAGATAAAGGATCTTCATGCTGAGACTGGTTCTGGACAAAATCTTACTCCTGGGACAGACTTGGCTCTCTATTTATGGAGTTGTAATGATTGCATCATATCACCTCAGTGAACTATTGCAAAATAGTTCTTACCTAAGGCAACGGTGCATCTTCCTTGTATTGAAACACTCCTGTTTGTTAGCTGTTACAAAAGCCCTGAGAAGAGCAGCAGACTTAGTTGAACATCTAACCTGCTATGGCTATAAAAGATGGGAGGCGCAGGACTTGCAGTGTCCGAATGGGTCAAAGAAAATTCCTTACTGAATTGCTGCCCAAACTCTACAGTCCACGATGATAATGCTCGGCCATGTTCACGAATGGCTGGAGTTTGGGAAGAGCCCTTAGAACTAAGTGGTAGAAATCTCGGGTTGGCACTGCTATCATGGGCGACACGTTTTTATGGGTGGGTTTTGGGAAAACAGCTGCTCTGCTTCCTGGTGGGTCTTTGTGGCACTCAGATGAAGCACAGACTGATTTGGCTTTCGTTGAAGTATTCCTCCCTCATCCAGGTGATTTCTATTTCTCTGAAAACAGAGAATATATGCAGAGTTCGAGATATCCCTTCAGTCTTAGTTAAGGGTTAATAATAATAATGATGATAAAGTTGGAAGGGACCTTGGAGGTCATCTAGTCCAACCCCCTGCTCAGGTAGGGAACCCTATACCATTTCGGAGAAATGGCTGTCCAGTCACTTCTTAAAAACTTCCAATGTTGGAGCGTATTCACCACTTCTGGAGGCAGGTTGTTCCACTGGTTAATTGTTCTCACTGTCAGAAAGTTTCTCCTTAGTTCTAGGTTGCTTCTCTCCTTGATGAGTTTCCATCCATTTCTTCTTGTCCTGCAGCCCCTGAGGTACTGGAACGCTGCTATCATGTCCCCCCTTGTCCTTCTCTTCATTAAACTAGACATCCCCAATTGCAGCAACCGTTCCTTATATGTTTTAGCCTCCAGTCTCCTAATCATCTTTGTTGCTCTTCTCTGCACTCTTTCTAGAGTCTCAACATCTTTTTTACATCGTGGTGACCAAAACTGGAGGCAGAAGTCCAAGTGTGGCCTTACCACTCCTTATTAGGAGTCCTGTGGGACACAGAAGACTAACTGAAATTGAGAAGGAGAACTGGGTTCCAAAAGCTGTGAGTGTTGGTTACATTGAATGTTTCCTGCTGCTTCAGTTACAAAGGATCTCATGGGGGGGGGGCATATTTTTTTATTACTTATCTCTACATTTCAGTGGTGAGAACAATATGGCTTTACACTTAGGCAAGAAAAAAGGAATGCACAGGTATAGAATAGGTGATACATGGCTCAGTAGCAGTAACTGTGAGATTTTGGCTCCAGAGGTTTTGGGTGCTCCATCACTGGAGGTTTTTAAGAATAATTTGGAAAGCCATTTGTCTGGAATGGTGTAGGGCTTTCCAGCTTCAGCATGGGATTGGACTAGCAGGTCCCTGCCAAGTCGGTTATTCTGTAAGTTCTGTTGGTTCTCAGGTGTCGCATCCAGTTGCCATGGATGCTGTAGAGATTTAGAGAGGATTTCAAAGTGAAGCACAAGCATTTTCCCATGCCCTGAATAACACAGTAACTTAAAATCTGTTTTCACAAAACAAAATACTCAGACTTAGTTACAAATAAAATCATCCTAGTTTCACAAACTAAATATGACTTTTCAACATTTGCCTATTTTTCACCATCTTTTTCTCTTTTGTCTTTTTTTCTTCTCCCAATCTGTGATACAATTGCTCTGAGAAAGGATCCTTACAGTGAGGGATGAGAAGAATAGAAAAAAAAACCCACTGAAAGATTTAACAATTTCTGTGTTAGATGCAGAAATGTAATACAGAAAATGTTAAATAATCAAGATGCAAAGAATTGTTGCAGTGAAAAAGCATCCTTGGAGGGTCTCTCAGGGAGTCAATATTGAGCCTGGTTGTTGGTGAGCAATGGGTTGAAAGTTCCCGGCAATGAGTGGAAAAGGTGGTTGTTGAGCCACATCTCCTAAGCTTTGCCTTGAGGGCTGGAGCCAATTTCTGTGGACTCCCATCAAATAGCCTTGATACAGGACCTGATAGAAGATGAACATGCAAAATTAGAAATCAATTAACCACAGGTGCACTAAAGAGTAGGAGACCAGTGAGACTGAAAATGGCAAAATTGGCAGCCCTAAGAAGAAAGGAAATTCATATTTAATAATGTAGTTCTTTGCCCAAGAGCCACAGAAAGCAGTTAATGAGGAAATTGTGGAAGTGCCTTGAAACCTTGAAATAATGTCAAACTCCTGCTATTTCCCAAGAAACGGACAATTACTTTATGTAATGAGTGGGTGCAGCAACGGTAATGAGGAAAGCACAGATGCAAACTGACTTGGTGTTTAGTAATCAAGTTAAGTAAGGTAGAGAATAATAAAATAAGTGGAGACTATGACTTAAATTTAGGTTTAAAAATAATTGAGGAACACTCCATGGTCCCTTCCATCCCATTTTTGTTCATTTGCTTGAGAGTGTGTTTGGAGCTCAATGGAGCCATGAGAAGTAGGATTCAGATGTACCAAAACTGAAGAAAAAGGTGATGCCAATATGACATTTGGGTTGCATGTGCTGTTAAGAGGACTTGGATCCTATTCTCATAATAATTATCTGATTTTAGATGAGTCAAAGTCAAAAGTGATGGTCCTTGGAAAATGACAGCATTGCCCTATAGGGCTAATCGATGAGGAGGCAACAGAGCAAGTTCACACCTTTCCTCACCTGGAGAAATTTTCTCTGGGACTGGATCTGGGCTCCCTCAACATCAAAGGAGCTCACTTAGAAGGCACAAGTGAATGCACTGTTATTTTTTTTAAAAAAAACTCATAGGTATGCTGCTTCCTTAGAATGAATTATTAAATACAAAATACCACCGTTCTATTATGCACTTATATTGAGCTGAACTTTGGGATTTAATTTATATCACTATTAGAACAAATTAGATCACATATCTGAGAAGTATCTTGAGGGTGGATGAAAGGACTTCAACTGCTGCCCTCAGAGCAGAATTGGGAATTTATACAATTTAGAAAATTGGGGTATATAATTATTTTTATTAAAATTAATGGTATGGAAAATAATAACAATAGTAATAATAGTGATGATGATGATGATATTGGAAGGGACCTTGGAGGTCATCTAGTCCAACCCCCTGCTCAGGCAGGAAACCCTATACCATTTCAGAGAAATGGCTGTCCAATCTCTTCTTAAACACTTCCAGTGTTGGAGCATTCACAGCTTCTGGAGGAAGGTTGTTCCACTGGTTAATTAGTTAGTTAGTTTCCATCCGTTGCTTCTCATCCTGCCTTCAGGTCCTTTGGAGAAGAGCTTGACTCCCTCTTCTTTGGGGCAGCCCCTGAGATATTGGAACACTGTTATCATGTCCCCCCTCGTCCTTCTCTTCGTTAAACTAATAAGAGTGCCCAAATGCTATTAGAACAAACAAATTTCATTAAAAACATTCTTGATTTTATATTGGGAACTGTCATCTGCCTGTCTTTTTTGCCACTCGAGAAAAACCTAAAAAATGCTGCACAAAGAATCCAGGATGGTTAAAATAGAGAAAAGTAGGGCGTCTTCAGTAAGGCTGGCACACTGAAAGGCATCAGCTGCTACAAATGTACCTTCCAAGTATTGAGTTGAATCTTCCAAACTCCTTACAATGAATTAACCACAGCTGCACTAAAGAGTAGGAGACCAGTGAGACTGAAAATGGCAAAATTGGCAGCCCTAAGAAGAAAGGAAATTAATTTTTAATGTGGTTCTTTGCCCAAGAACCACAGAAAGCAGTTAATGAGGAAATCAGTGAGTGGGTGCAGCAACGGTAATGAGGAAAGCACAGATGCAAACTGACTTGGTGTTAAATGAGGTAAAGAATAAAAAAATAAGTGGGGACTATGACTTAAATTTAGGTTTAAAAATAATTGAGGAACACTGTTTGAAAAGAAGCTGCCTAAATTTCTGTGTGAAGAAGTTGATACTATTTAGCAGTTGTTAGAAGGACATTTGAATTGACCAGGGCTTTTATTTATTCATGCTTATGGCATTTTGTTGTTTGGGACGAAGAGTTAGGCTTGAGAGAAGGAACATTTTAATTCCAGTTATCTCAGTGAACTTGCCACATGGAAATGAAGCAAAGCTTCACGAGGACTTTTCACGTATCCTGCTTCCACCCTGTAATCCCTCAAAGGTATTTTTAAATCAACCAAGCTCACCTCTTCTGAAATACTGAAAGGAATTTGTGGTGCTTCTCTCTGAGAAGAAGGCAGTTTGATAAGTCTCATGCTTCTCCTCCAAATCTCTCACAAAGCTGTTTGAATTTGATCCCTGATTATTCACACTGTAATGCAGAGAATATGAGGAGAACACCATAACGTGTTCAAACGTGGCCCAGAGGAAGCTGCATTTGTTTGGTTTTTTAAAATGGGTTTTATGAAAAACTATGGGACAGCAAGTTGATTACCCAAAACCTTTAAAAAAGGACATAAAATGAAATCCAATCCAATCCTAGCCCAGCCCAGCCCAGCCCGCAACCTTTAGCATTCTTTCAGATTAAAAATCCTGTGTCTTCTGAAGGTGAAATGATGGCATGTCAACTTCTTTAGCTTTAATCCTGACTGACTAGAGCAGTGATTCTCAACCTTTCTAATGCCGTGACCCCATAATACAGTTCCCCATGTTGTGGTGATCCCCAGGTGGGTGTGGCCACCAATAAGAGGGAGTAGGACAGCTAGGGAAAAGGGAAAAAAATGGCGGACAGCATGGTTTGGTGACCCCCGTGAAATGGTCATTCGACCCCAAATGGGGTCCCGACCCACAGGTTGAGAACCACTGGACTAGAGATGCTACGTAGAGTTGACTTTGATTAGTACTTGGATGGTGGACTGGACCTTGAGGTACACACAGGTACACTTGGCCCCTGCAAAGTATTGCTGTATATAATGAAAAACTGTTTGGATGTGTCCTTCTATAAAAAACTTTTTTTCCATTGTTTAAATGGTACATCTATTGTCAATATCAGTATTGTCTCAAATAAAATAATAAAAATCCATGCAAAACCAACCTAGCCGACAACTTTGTCATCCAAAAGATTGGCTTACTGAAGTACTGAAGCATCACTTTGGTGGAAAAAAATCAGAAATAAAAAGGAACAATTTAGAGAGAAATGTTACTTAGATTTGGTCATTGGCTTGTAAGAGTGCACTTCATCTGAAAATCCCTTGAATGCAATTGTTTATCTTCATTGTTAGCTGCCTTAGGACACACTGCGAGGCTACAGATCAAACTAATAATAAATATGAGTGTGTATTTCCCTGTCAGATTGTGTCACCTAATTGTATTCTCTCAACAGAAAGGACCTTGTGTTGGATACCGTGTGTTGAATATCCCTTTCACACATAAGGCGCACACTCATGACCCATGTGGTGCATCAAGTGATCCATGACTCACCCTTTTTGAGGGACACATTCTCATGACCTCACCTCCATCTCACCTCACTATAGTTTTAGAAACTAGTCAGTCGGTTTTAGTTTTAGTTCACCAGCATGGCAGCCATATAAACCGAACAAATATATATACAAATAAAGTTCATCTTTAGGGTTGACAGCCCCTATTTGTAAAGAAATTTTCCTTTTTATCTTAACTGGGAGATAATTTTGGACCATGTTCAAAGGGAAGCAGCTTTGCAAAGTTTTATGCACTCGAGAAGAAATCTTTCCAGAATCTGCTGGTCAGAAGATCTTTTCTTGATCATGGTTTTATTCTATTTCAATAAATCTAATGGAATAAAAAATGAATCTTTTATGATAAACGTCACTCCAAAATTAGTATGTTTGGATATCTTATTTTAAAATCCAGCATGTATGAAGACTGGAGGAATGCATGCTAATTCCACTATGAGGAGGAACCCACCGGTTGTCAGTTAATGCTTAAATCTTTTCTCAATTTCATCCCTCAGACTTTGTTAAGTAGAAAGGTATTTTTTTTTTTGTAATCTGATATGTCAGAAGAAAAAGAGAGGGACTGAATGAGGCATCTGCCTGCAATTGTCTCTCCTGCAACCTTTTGGAAGTGGTCAGAGATTTCATATTTGCCTACGTGAAGCCCAGAGATGACTTGGCTGATGTTCATGTCTACCTGCATCTTACATGGATGGTGAATCCTAACATATTTTCTTTGGCATTTCTTCTTTCTCTGCTCAGTCTCTGCCTCAGTCTAAATGTGTGGAAAAATGCCATCCTGGATTTGTCAAGCAGGCTCGAGAAGGAGAGCCAGTTTGCTGCTACGACTGCATTCCTTGTCCAGAGGGGACCATCTCCACTCAGGAAGGTGGGTGACACCATAGGGAAACTTTGATCAATATGCATGTTAAAGACACATGTAAGTTTGATTGTTTAGTTCTCAATTTTAATGGTGTCCAATTTCTTCCCTAAATGGGATTTATTAGAAAAATATCTTGAAGGATATGGTAAGAAAAAGGATATTGTGCATTGCATGGAAAATCTCTCTTTCATTTCCCAGTTCGGATGTTTCTGTCCATATTTATCTTTCTTAGAAATATGTGTATTCTTTGTAACTTGAGGGATAATTTTTGATCAATGGGTTTTGTTTACCTAAACCCAGTGCTTCCCCCCCCCAAAAAAGGTGCCAGAACTCATACACATCATACAACCCGCCTTGCCTACCCTACAAGATTCCATCCAAAAAAGTTGCTGGAACTCCATTCTGGGCGCTCTATGAGAAAAAAAGCCCTGCCTAAACCGACTTTACATTACAAACTGATAGATGCATCGATCAATCATTCATTTAATCAGTTAATCTTTAGTAAGATCATTTATCCTTATAAGCTGAGATATCTAATTGGGAGGAACAATAGAGGGAGAGATGTTGGGTTAAAGGAACAATGAAAACCAAACATAGGATTCAGCATAAAATCATCAAGTAGATATTTCCTTTCCAGCTTTTCTTATCTTTCCAATTTTCTTTCTTGTTAAATACTGTAGTGTGATATAACACTCCCCCCCCCAAAAGGCAATATAGTTGTGCTCCTGAAAGGAAAAAAATTCTAACATGCAGTGTTGGGATTAAAATGAACAGAAAGAAGGAGGAAACAGAGAACTAATAAAAGACCAATTTACTAAATATCCTTTGATACCAATGTTGAATTCATTCTCTTTAAAATTTTGCCAAATTGAGAGAATATGGAAACATATTGCTTCACCTTCTCATTTTTACAGGGTAAAAATAGAAATAACACACTCAGTTCCTGTTGAATTTATTTATGAATTAATCTTCGTTAAGATGTTTTTTCAAATTTATTTATCGGGTTTATATGGCTATTTCACACAAAGTGACTCTTGGTGGGATACAATTAAACCAATCATAAAAATTAAAACATTGAGGTATAAATGCTAAGAAAGCAAGAGAGGAATACATCAAGATGCTACCTACCATGAAACCAGCACACGGGGCCCTGTTACCAGGAGATCCCCAGGACCATTGATAGAATCACATTTGAAGGAATTTCTAGAAGGCCTAATAGTTAGGAGACACTCTCAATTTCAGGATAGTCAATGGATTTTTTTTGTGAAGGGGGCTGTAGAACCTGTCCTGAAATAGTCAGTGTTGCAACCCTTCTCAAGTGGTTCTTCATGGATCCAACCATGTTAGACAAATTTATCCTCTGTCCAGTATTTTTGGAGCAGTGTATTGAGAGCATGGTTGGTGGGTCACTCATCAGTAACTGAGTTTAAACCTTTTTGGGATAAACATATGTCCATCATCTGAATTTTTTTTGAAAAAAATGAATTGAAATATTAAATAAGTAAGAAAACAAAAAACTCAAAGGGCAGACTCGATGCAGCACTAGGTCTTTTTCTGCCATCAGTTTTCTGTTTCTATCTTTTTATCCCATACTCATAGGGTTGCTCTTGAAAACCACTTGGAATTTATAAAATGGTCCAGAATGCAAAGGCATGCAGTGTTGAGTTTCCGTGTGTTCTTCCATAGAACACTCCTGCTGTGCAGGCTCCACAGAATCCCAGTTTCTTTCCAGGTGCAATTAAATTCACCTTTCAAACCCTCCATGAGACAGAACCAGGGTATCTGCAGGGTTTCTTCTCCTTGAGGATATCTGCTTGTCCCACCAGAGCAGATATAATTGGCATGCAAACAATCCATTCCCTAAAAGATTCCCACTTCATGGATCATCAGAAGCCTGCCTTTTCTGCTGCAGTTCCTGCCCTATTGGACTTACTCCCCCTTGAAAATGAATAAGTCCCCCATCCTCTTAAACGTCTGGAGACTTGTTACTTCTGCCAACCATTTGGGATAAGGTAAGTACAGTGCAGGATAAGAATCTGGTGGATTACCTCAGAGAAGGGAGTTTGGAGCACTAGATAGCTCTTTTAATTTTATGTTGTTGTTGTTTTTATAGTTGTGTGTATTGCGGATTTTTGTTGTTGTTGTAGTATAAGTATATCCCACTTACTGAGACTTTTCTGTCTCTCTGTATCACATCTTATCCAATGTTCTTCTTGAAATTTGAAAGATTATAAAAGAAATATTACTTTCTTTTCTCAGATACCAAAAAATGCACCAAATGCCCAGATGATCAATATCCAACTGAGAACCGAGTCCAGTGCATCCCCAAAAGAATAAACTTCCTGTCCTATGAAGAACATCTCAGCATCATCCTCATCTCCTTTGCTCTACTCTTGTTCCTAATCACAGCCTTTGTTTTAATCGTATTCATTAAATACCTTGAAACTCTATTGTCGAAGCAAACAACCGGGACCTCTCCTACATCCCCCTGGTCTCCCTTCTGCTTTGCTTCTTATCCTCCTTGTTCTTCATTGGCCAACCAAGGAAAGCCACCTGCCTTCTCTGACAAACAGTGTTCAGCATTGTCTTCTCAGTAGCCGTGCCGTCTGTGTTGGCCAAAACTATCACAGTAGTGCTGGCATTCCTAGCTTCAAAACTAGTCAATAAAGTGAAAAGATGGTTGGGGAAGAGTTTGGCCAACTCCATCATCCTTTCTTGTTCTGCTGTCCAAATTCTCATCTGTGCCATGTGGTTGGGAGTTTCTTCCCCATTTCCTGACTCTGATCTCTACTCCCAGTCTGAAGAGATTATCCTTCAGTGCAATGAAGGCTCTGTCACCATGTTTTATGTTGTCCTTGGCTACATGGGCTTCCTTGCTGCAATTTGCTTCACGGTGGCTTTCCTGGCCAGGAACCTGCCTGGAGTTTTCAATGAAGCCAAGCTGATCATCTTCAGCATGCTGGTTTTCTGCAGTGTCTGGGTTTTCTTCCTCCCCACCTACCTGAGCACTAAAGGAAAATACATGGTGGCCGTGCAGGTCTTCTCCATCTTGGCTTCCAGTGCTGGACTGTTGGGCTGCATCTTCTTCCCAAGTGCTACATTATCATCCTGAGGCCAGATCTAAACACTAAGGAAGATCTAATGGCAAAAGCAGGGGAATAATTGTGAAATTGTTTCTTAGGTTGGTGACTTCTAATTATCCATTATTATTGGTTATATATTCTTCCTTTGGATTTGCTTGACGACTTATGTTTATTAAAACTGAAGGAACTAAATATATGAAGTTTGTTAGTTAGATGAAAATTCAAGATAATCATCAAATACATTAATAATAAATAAATAAGTAAACAAAAAAATGAATAAATATTATGTTTTTTAAACTATTGGTTTTCCTCTTTTTCCTCAGCACACATGTCAACCAATATTTAGCTTAAGCAACTCTTCAAGACAAGAGCTATATGAGTCACTTCCTGGGCTTTATAGTGGCGTAAGGGCTGTTGGTACCGGAGGTGAGTAAGACATCCTCTGAAAATAAGACCTGATGCATCTTTTGGAGGCAAAAAAAGAGATCCAGTCTTATTTTCAGGGAAACACAGTATTTGAGGGAGTTCCTCTGGCACATGCTAATAAACACTGTAGTAAGAGTTTGTTACTTCCTTTGGGTCCTACATCTGATTCCACAAGAAGTAGGATACTGCACTTTGGAAGGAATTTTCCCTCCTTTAAGAAGAAAGATTTGTTTCCACTGTCCACTGGCAGTGATGACACTCTAACCATAGGTGGGTTAGGATTTTCCCTTCAATCCTCTTCTGATTCCCAGAGGGAGGAAGGGAGCAAGGAGAGCAAATTGGCCAGGAGCTGCTGCCCCATAACTGGGTCTCTTCAGAACTGAAGTAGCTCAGAGGCAGTGAAGATTTAATTCTGAGGACACCTTTTTCACTATTATATGATACTAGAAGGGAATCAAGAGGTGGGTTTTTTTTTTAAAAAAAGTATTCCTCTGACAATCAGCAGAGGTCACATACCAACCACAGGTCCTTAATTTTTTCCCCCACAGAAACTGGCAACAATGGATAGGCTAGGTGGTGCTAGGGCAGTCATACAACTTAGAAGTGTCAAAGATACCTGTATGCCAACCCTGTCAGAAAGGCAGAGGCTATAAAGATGTCTGCTAAAGAAGATTCCTCACCAGAAGGAGAAAAGTCTGTTCAGCACCTCAACCCAGAGAAGTTGGAAAGGGAGGCTAAGAGAGAAGAAGCCAAGAAAAGGATAAAAATTGTTCTGGAGCTTAAAAAAATGGAGATTGCTGAGAAAGAGACCATCAGGAGAAAAATGAAAGAAGCACCAAATCCAATTAGAGCGGTTGAAATTGCAACACTACATCTTCTACACTATTTGTCCATTTTTCATAGGTAAAAAACAGTGATTCTCCATATCAGCTTTAGCGTGGTTGTAGATGCCATGCATGCATCCACATGCAGGTTTCACATAAAAGATTTTTTACCCCTGGCACGTAACAGGATGTCCTGCAATAACTTTTTAACTCCTTCCACTGCCTAGATGAGCTATAGAATTAACTAACACAAAAACTACATTACCCATAAGCCATCTCTTAAGGAAACAACATTAACCCTGTAAATGCTAAACATTCTAACACAGTTCTTAAGCTAACTGACTGGTACAGCACACTCCCCACTTGGAAATATAAATTTCCACTACTAACTAACTAGAATAAGCAAAAAACATAGCATCAAAGCATGGTCTTTCCCAAAGGCCTCTGCAGCTGAGTACCGAGCTAAGGATTCAATCCATAGCTTGGTTCTTGGTTGCAGTGGCCTTCTGGAAAGGTTTGTGACTGAGAAATGTAGGCCTGGCTGCAGAAGATGGTGCAAAAGAGGTGGGCCAGCGAGGAGAGGCCTGGCTGCAAGATAAATGTGTGTGGGGCACATGGGGCAGCTCCACACCCCCAACCCATCTCTAGCTTGATTTTTAGGTGTGTGCCTCACCCCAAAACAAGGGCTTATTTTCGGTGTAGGCCTTACTTTTGGGGAAACAACGGTAATATTGAGAGATGGCCCCACACATAATAAACAGATGCACACATATTTATGTATCTCAAAATGTCAGGAGAGACTAAGTAACAAATGATGTAAGTGTACATATTCATAGGTAAAGGATGTCAAGGAATTGTCAGTGAGTTTTAAAGCAACACAAACCTGAAAACTCCTCACAGTCATGGGCCGTGTTGAATAGCATAAAGTCCATGGCCAGGATGTTCTGCAAAATTGCCGTTCTTTGCTGTTCCTGATCCTCATTCAGGAGAGGAGTAGCGTTTGACGTTTGGCTTATACTTTTTACTACTAAACAAGCCAGTTTTCTAACATTGAGGTAGACATGGGCTGCTAGGGCTATTTAGCCAATTATAGAGCTAGCAAGCCCATAAACCTTTTCTCTGTTTGATTGCCCTATATGGTCCTCCCAACTATTTTCAAGTGAGGAGCTCCCAATGAGGTTTATGTTCCTGCACACTCATCTGGGCTTGTGACTATGGTTTGAACCTACATTAGGCCAATATCCTCCCGGCCATGGGATACCACGTGAACAAGGAATCCAGGACTTTGAGTAACTGGAATCTGCTCAGATTCACATTACTGTCCCCCCATACAACACTCAAGCTTCCAGTGACTGAGAGGACTCTGCTGGCTCTCTGACATGTCATCCCCATTGCTTGATGCATGGGTGAGGCTGTCCCTCCACCTGCCCCAGCCTTGTCTAGGCTGAAAGCTTCACTTCTTCAGATTCTCTAAGACCTGGTCTCCCCAGCCCTGCCTGTCGTCTGCTTGTGAGAAGGGGGACAAGGAGGCGGCTTCATGAGCTTTTGTTCCAACTGCCAAAAAGCGGCAATTCTTTTTCTGCTTGAAACAGGGAGACATAGAGACACAGAACTTTGGAGGGAACTTGGGTAATCTCAGCCTTTACCCAGATTTATTTTGTGGTTTGTCTAAAGAAATTTAACCAAGACATGGCTAACTTTGCTCATGCCTGGGTGTCATCAGCACACAGCAACAAGTCATCGACCCATAGCATCACCCCTCCCTCTCAGAGCTGCAGCCAAAGAACCTCCAACATCGTCCCATCAGGGAAGAAAAGAAGGAATAGAAGAAAGAAGGGAGAGAGCTACAGCCACCTCTTTAACTGCTACGAGATGGGATTTCTCCAGCAGTCCATAACCTTCACTTTTACCCAACAATTGCAATCCTTTTTTTGCTTCTTCTGGAAGAGAGAGGGGGCTACTTAGAAGATACTGATTTTGCCCCTCTCCTCAGGTTGGGGGTTATCAATCTTTTAATTCAGCTTTCAGGAAAAAATATTCTTGCTTTGCAGCAGCACCATTAAAAAAAATTCCTAACCTTCCAGTTCATCCTCACACGCACAACCTCGTTGCTCCAACAAGGGAGTTTTTTCAAAGCTAAAATTGCTACAAAAATAAAAATAGTAGGGAGGAGACAGGAATCGTTCTGTGCCCCCTTCCTCCCTTTCTGAATCATTGGCATCCATTGCCCTCTTTCAGCAGCAATTCACATGAGGTAATGGTGGTCAGTCTCTCAGCAGGCAGCTCACGTGAGGTGATGATGGTCAGTCTCTCTCAGCAGCAGCTCACATGAGATAATGATGGTCAATCTCTGTCAGCAGCAGCTCATGTGATGTGATGATGGTCGGTCTCTCTCAGCAGCTCATAGGAACCTCCCTTATTCTATCTCCTCTTCTCTTTCTGGCCTTTCCCCACTGAATCCTCTCCTTCTCTCTTCCCTTCCCTCCTCCAAGCTTGCTCGAAAGAAACTTCTCTTTCTCCATCCCTCCCTCTCCATCAGGCTTGCCCCACCAAAAAGGATAAAAACAAAACCCAGCCAACCTCCTCCCTCATTCTCCCTCTGTCTGGCTTTCCCCACCAGGAAAAAAGAATAAAAGCTATCCCCCAGTCAACCTCCTCTTCCTTTTTAATGTCTCCCCAAGCACCGTGCCCCACCACCAGCCACCATGGAGGCTTCTGGGGCTCCTAACCTCCACACAGAATCCGCAGAACTCCAGCAAACCCTCCCAGCCAGAGCTGATCCCACCCCAACCCCCCTCTCTGCTACACATGTATGAGTTGGTTTTATTTGTTTATTAAATAATTATATAAATATTTATACATTTCAGAAAGGAGGGGAAAATGATGCAAAAAGGGAGAAAATGATCCATATATACACATTCATAAATGATAGCATGGTCAATCTCAGGTTATTTGTTGCCCTTCTGTTAGATCTGCAAAAAAAAAAAAAATCTTAGTTAGAAGAAACATTTGCATCTTCAGATTCAGTGGTTGCTATAGGAATGTTCTGATAAAACTTTCCATGATCATTATGAGCCGCAATCCTTATGTCTCCATTTGCCTACCAAACAGTCTCATCTATCTGGAAACTGATTTTAGCCTATTGTAACTAAAATGAGACATGGTGCATTGCTACTGGTTTCTTTGGGAATAAGAGGAATACCTTCTCCCCATGTGCATCTTGCTCTCTTCCTTCCCATCTTTCTCAATTTTAATTCAATGTTAATGCTACTATTTATTATTTTAGTCTTTTGTTTTCTTTTGTCTGGGTTGTAAGCTGCCTAGAGTCATCCCTAGCCAAGATGTGCAGCATTTAGATTTAATAAAGAAATAAAAAAAACAAACATTAAATGATCAAAATCTATTAATCAAGCCTACTAAATGACATTTTTGAAAAATAATAGATTTGTAAAAGTCATTTTTTTTCTATTTTATTTTGACATCAAATGTTCTTTGGTGTTCAGATCTGACCTAAAAATAATAATAATATAGCACTTGGGGATGAAGATGCAGCCCAGTAATCCAGCACTGGAGGCCAAGATGGAGAAGACCTGCACAGCCACCATGTACTTTCCATTGTTATTCAGGTAGGCTGGCACAAAGGACACCCAGACACTGCAGAAGACCAGTATGCTGAAGGAGGTCAGCTTGGCTTCATTGAAGGCTCCAGGGAGATTCCTGGCCATAAAAGCCACTGTGAAACAGACAGCAGACAGGAAGCCCATGTATCCGAGGGCAACATAAAACATGGTGACAGAGCCTTCATTGCATTGCAGGATAATCTCTGTACATTGGGAGTGCATGTCAGAGTCAGGGAATGGAGGGGAAGTACCCAACCAGATGCTGCAGATGAGCACAGAGAAAATACATTTTTTAAAAAATATTAGGATAATAATAATATCAACAATAACAACAATAATAAAAAAGTTGGAAGGTACCTTGGAGGTCATTTAGTCCAACCCACTGCTCAGGCAGGAAACCCTACACCATTTCGGACAAATGGCTGTC